TTTGGTCAGCTGCTGGAAAACAAATTAAACTCTGTTTGTTCCCAAATAACCTTGTGGACAAATTACAAATTACTTAACAAATAAATTCTAAATGTGTGAATGACTTAACACTCCTTGCAGAAGAACCGATCTATAAAATGTTCTCAAAATGCTAATTTAAATTGCTTTTAGTACAAATGAAAACAATCGCTACAAATATCTCAAATGCTGTTATTCAAGCAGCGTCATTTCACATAATTTACTGAGATCAGTTATAATTGGATATGCCACAAATGAGAGAAAAAAAACAAAACAGATAACAGTCTCATTTTCTACAGACTGATCTGAATGAACAAACTGATCTGTCTCAGTTTGTTTACTTATCTATTTTTGCATTACTGGAGTATAAAGGCCACGGTGCAACTATTTGGGGTAGTACGTGTTCTCCAAGTGAGTCTTCATTCCTTGGCTATGGCATTAGTCTGTGTAAAAGTAGAGCCACCACACTAGTGTTTGGGATAAGAGCACTTAGAGTGTTTGACAGCCTCCTCAAGCGACTTCCTGGTTACCAGCAGTCGTACCACATCCTCTCTCTTCTTTGTTAGTTTTTTACGAGCCTGATCATGAGTCACCATGGTCATGTCCCAACCGTTCACCTGGAAAGAAGGAAGGAACTTAGTTTGAAATAAAAAGAATCAAATACCAAAAGTAAAAGTCATCACAGCACTGCTCCTGAGGTACACAGTGCCATCTTGTGGATCAACTATTCCAAAAGAAAAACTTCATTTCACTAAATACCTGCATTATTTTGTCTCCCATCTTCAAGCCGGCCAAGTCTGCTGGGCCTTTAGGTGATATCCTGGTCACATAAATGCCCTGTGAAAACAAAGAACTCATCATTTCATTTTTTTGCCACAATTGGAGAGCAGGTCTGGTTTAAAATGGGTAGTCCAAAATAATACAGAATATCCCTGAAGGCCTTTGCCTTCAATACTGCCAGTCTGGCAGTACAGGAGGAGGATCCCAGGGGGAAAGCATCAAGTGCTTAAAGTGTAAAGGATACACTAGCATAAGAAATTATTTTTGTCCGATTAAAGTAAAACTAGGATTAAAATAAAGAGAAAAATGGACAGAGGCCTGATCTGTTGTTAATTTAAGGGCACAGAGGACATCTCTCACAACAAAGTTCCTGTAATGCTCAAAAATATGTTAATAAAGGAAACAGTAAAAGTGTAGAAGCCAGTATCTAAGTCTTATTCCTCTCTAACAAATCAGCTGGTACATTTCTGTGCAGTCAGCATGACTTAATGTAAACCTGAAGTCTTCCTCTCTGTAGCTCTGCTGAGTTTGTTTAGTCACCACCCGAGGCCATGAGTAATGTGTTCAGGCCTGTAGTTAACCAAAACGATAAGTACTTTGGGGATACTTGTACCACTAGGCTTTAGCGCAATTGCAACTTGTGGGTGGATATTCACCCACAAGTTGTATATCCACCGCTGTATATGTATAACCATGACAGAAAACATGGAAAATATATAATTTCACTTTAGATAGGGTCATTTGTGGGTTTATTCCTTTCGGCTACATCACTATTGTCTACAAATATTCTATTAAGAACAAAGGGAGAGAATCAAAATGAAAAAACTGCACGTAAAGAGATGATAGCTGCAGATAAACTCACTTTGTCAGACTTGTCCTCAGAGAAGGGATTCTGCCCAGGGTCCTGGTCTATCCCTCCTCCGATGCTGAAGCCAAGGATGAGATTCTCTCCTTGCCGCAGCTTCTGAATCTCAACTCGTTCCTGTTTAACAAAAGAAA